ATAGACAAACTACAGTAAAAATAAACATCTAAATGTGTATTTTGTATGTTTTCCTTCCAAAAGCCTGAAAGAAAACATGTTATGGAATCAAAATAGCACAAAATCTCAAACGATGTTTTTGCCGGCCGTGTCTCGCCTTAAAGGGGACCTATCATGCAAAATGCACTTTTGTACGTCTTTTATACATGAATATGTGTCCCCGGTGTTCCAGGGAACTCACCAAGTGTCAGAAAACACAACCCTCTCTATTTTCCTCCATACCCAAATCTCTAAAAAAGGGGCTACAACGGATCTGATAAAAACTGATCCAGATTTGAACACTGTCCTGACGTCAGGACAGTGGCGCTACAGCTATTGGACCAACTCCACCAATCAGGAGGAGACAGCCATGGCCATTGCCGTTCGAAAGCGCTGGAGACGCTGTAGTACATATGCCAGGCCAGTAGATGGTGCTGTTCTCACTGAATCTGCCCTTGCTAAAACAGGGATAAAAAAGTGCAAATTGAGCAAAATGAGGTATGGCTAAAATGCATGATCTGTTTGGTATTTTGAAAAAAAAAAAGTATAAATATGTCTTATATAGGTATGGTCCTACACTATATTATTCAAATATAGCATGATAGGTCCACTTTAAGTTGATCCAGTGCACTGAGAGGAACATGAGACGTACCAGCAGCGATGATCCACGGATCTACTCCAACTTTGGAGTTCTCTGGCAGGATGCTGATCAGCCAGTCCTCCTGAGAGGGTGTTTCCTTCAGCCCTAGATATGATTGTTTTTAAACAACATGATCACATTCAAAGACAGCGACATAAAATGTGCCAGATTCATTCCAGTGTTTACAGTCGCTATTAAGATACATGTATGTTTAAAAAAAGCCTTTGCAGTTAGGATGATCCTGTTTTTTTTTTATTCTTACCCATCTTCATGAGGCTCCAGTTGTTGTCCATCTGCTGACTGGCCTGGAGGAAATATCTCCCATCAGTCCACATTGCAGCGTGTTGCTCTGTGACGATGGCTGTACCTACACGACACAACAAGCAACGCACAATTCATCTTACCAATCACAGAGGCTTTTGTATGGTGTGTACAATAGATGAATAAGAAAAGGTTAAATATGCAGTATCTCCCCCATTAAGATGTCTTAGAAAGACCTGACCTGTGTTATAAGTGGTTTACTTTATCCAAATGTTTACAAAAAATGTAAATCTAAAAAAATCTGTAATTTGAATTAAAGGTGGGGTAGGTAATTTTGAAGAAACCAGCTCGAGATCGCTAGAATTTGAAAATACACAGCCGGAACAAATCTGCCACTTCCTTACTGAGCCCCTCCTCCAACACACACGAACGCGCACATGACCAATGAGGGCACGAGATAAGTTTGTGCACAGATGGAAGGCTGACAGGCAGGTAGGCCATCCAGTTATTTTAGCCGGGCCTGGATTTTTTGTCAAAGCACTTAAGATATTCATTGCTATCGGGATGTTAAGAGCATTCCATGGAATATTTTTGCCCTTTGCCCTTTGATCTGATACTATTATAGTGACACATGACCAGTCTATTACTCTGTTTCTTGTCTGATGTGTCAGTACAGTAAGAAGCTGGTTCCGGTCAGTTTTTAAAAGCAGAATAAACAGCAGCGAACAAAGAGTTTTTTTTTTGTCAAAGCACTTAAGATATTCATTGCTATCGGGATGTTAAGAGCATTCCATGGAATACAAACAAAAAGTGTATATCGAGCCGGTTTCTCAAACTTACCTACCCCACCTTTAAGGCAACGCTCAGTTTTATTTGATTGCCTGCAGTTAAAACGTTTGCCCTTTGATCTGATACTATTATAGTGACACATGACCAGTCTATTACTCTGTTTCTTGTCTGATGTGTCAGTACAGTAAGAAGCTGGTTCCGGTCAGTTTTTAAAAGCAGAATAAACAGCAGCGAACAAAGAGTGAGTGAACGCTCCTTCTTTCTTTACAAACTGTGCTGTTTTCCCAGAGGGATTTGTTCCAAAGTAGGTCACATCCCTAAAAGTATACCTCACATCATAAAAAACAAAAAGATAATCTGCTGTACTAACTATATTGAACATGAGACGATGCACTGGGACCTGGACGGTTGGATGCAAGTTTATTTATCCTATCCTAAAACAAGAAATTAGCTAGGATTTGAACTGGATGAAGCAAACCATACCTGCAGAGCCATTAAATCCGCAGATAAATTCACGTCTGCAGTCACTCGGTGCAATGTATTCACTCTGAAAGACATGGGGGCAAAGAGAGAGAAGGAGACAGAGAGAGAGAGATCAGCTTCATTTACAATCAGTGTGAAGGGGCATGTCAGACATTTTAAATGGCACCTTGGCTGCTCTTCTCACATCGTGTCGTGTGCATGGAGAGGGCAAAAGGGAGGAGCAGTGGGTAAAGGGCTACAATTAATTTTCAAGGTTAGAAAAGACGATTAAAAGGGAATCACAACACACACAATGAGACAGGAGCTGCAGCAGCTCGGCTTTGAGCTGGTGCATGTGTGTCTGAGTTTATCTTTGGGGGTGACTTTATTGATGTTTTAAAGCAGACAGTGTATGTTTATGTGTCAGTGAAGAAGAAATAGCCATCGCATATTATTTATCCTAAAGCTCTACTGTTGAAGCTTCTAAACTAACTTACATCCCTTCTCCAATGTAAATATAGTTACTACAGTACACAATCCAGGAACTATTAACCTAGAACTACAAACTGCGTTCAAACAAGTTTACTTATTATCTGTTTCATGATTCTTGTGGTTGAAGTTGTGTCTTTTTTGCTGATGTGTTCATGTGATGTGTTTTTTAATCTACCTCAATAAAACCGCATGATTAAATTAAGATGAATTATAATTTAAAAAATGGTGTGATCTCACTTACCTGGTGTGCATCTCCAGAAGGGACGATGTAGGCCTGTATGGGCTCAGAGAAGTATTTCGAATTTCTCATCGCCTGCCGAAGTTGCCTGAGCAGCTCTCCTGTGATCTTTGGAGACATGGCTGAGTCTAAACGAAGAAAGAAAATGACACACTTATTTAAGACATAAAACCATGTAACAAAACGCCCTTACAATAAGGTAAATGTCCTAGCTTAACATTAAAGCTGCTGGGATTTAGTGCAAAAAAAAACACCTATGCATTTAAGATGTGAATACAAACTTGAAACACAGTAATTTCCCACAACTACCTTTATAAAAAAGAACAGAGATATGTGCCTTGATCTATTGTTATTCAAACCCACCCCAATTACCCATAGATTACCTGACTTTTGGGAAGTCATGTTGATTTTAGGTGCCTGGAGCAGGACAGTGTCTACCTGACTATTAACGTGGAGCTCAAAGTCACAGTCCACACCTGGATCTTTAACCTGCTGTAACATGATGATTCAGCAACTGTCACATTAGTTAAATATTAAAAGAATAGACCCATTGGATGGTGACGGTAGGTGTATTTCAAATGTGACAAAGTCCGGAAGATATTGTGCATTGTCGAATTTATCAGCATTCACAATAACTGTATAGTGACATAATTGTTTTGAAAGAACTTCCGCGTGCCGACCAATCACGTTGCAGTATTATTCATCGAAGAGCTCTCCTATTGGCTTAACACCGCATGCGATTGTTGTTTACAAGTAGGCATAAGAAGAAGTAGCATTTATCTTAACTAATACGCTAGCTAACTAGCTTGAATACAGTGTAACATCTCGTTATATTCTGATAATAAACGGCAAGCTATGACGATATTTTGTATCCACACATCACTGTTATCAACAGGCCATCCAAAACACACAATAACTCGTTCATTTAGCGAGTAGCTGTGTGCTTTAGTAGTGGCAACAAGACAATAGTCTATCTGTAAAGTTGTTAGCTGATTTCAGATATATTTCACATAATGTCACAGTTTGACAGCTCTGAGTGAAGGCTTTTCTCCCCACTTTGATAATGGACGTTACAGACACAGGCGTGGTGAACCACAGTCAACATCCCGCGGTGCCACGTTTTCTCCCCCTAACCACCGCTAGCTAACGTTTACGTCCCCCCTCATGCGGCCAGTGAAATGCTGAATACACACCCGGTGGTTTCCTCCTAGAAATGTGATTATTGGGCTAATAAACGAAGCGCTTCTGTACCAGCCTGAACCTTGTGTTAATATACAAAACAGGAGGCTGCCATTTCTTTGTTGACGTTTGTGGTCACGTGACTGCAGCTCCTTCCAGTAGAGGCAGCGAGATCCAGACTCGACTCCCTTACGAGGAAAAAAAACATACACTGAACAATAAAATAACCCATAATCTATGATTATCAATACAATTATTATTCATATAGCTACTGCCACTTTGCAGGGAGTGTTACACTTAACCACTGCACTTGAGTATAGAAACGCAACACTACTGGAAGATCCGCAACACGAACAAAATTGAGTAAGATATACATGTTATTACATCAAATAACACCATTAAATATGAGTTTTTTTGCTTTTTTGCTTCCTTGTTGTCTCTTGGTAGCCTACTTGTAGCATACAGAATTATTGTGTCTATTATACCCAAGCTAAATACAACGATATTGCCTACCTGCTATTCCCTGCATTAACAGAGCTTGATATGCCTCTTATGATAACTCAATTTGTCAAATCAAATCATACATAATGTATACAATGTAGATGTTGTGTATTTGGCCGATAAAGGTGATTCTGAACAGTTTTGTTATTTAATTGACTCATCTAATGACCATTTCAGTGTTGTCAATGTTGGGTTAAGGCTCATAGGCTACTCTTTGGTAAGTTTAAAGACCTCTGTTATGTCTTTTTGTATTTTTTTTAATTAATTTAAGGTTTTAAGTACCCCACATTCCCCTCAGTTGCAAATGTTAAGAAATAATAAGTTTTCAATAGATAGATTTGCATGCCCTGCTTGTGCTTATGTGCTCACACATTTATTCATGTCTTAGGTTGATGGGTCTAAACAAAGAAAAACAACTCATTGAAACATTATTGCATTTTATTTACAATTTTCCAAATATATACACAATATTTTGACATGAATATATGGATAATGCATAATTGAAGAAGAAAAAAGTCTGGATATCTGAAAATGTACCGCATTACCTCCCCCGATCAACAGTGAATAAAGAATGAGAGCTATTTGTTGCGTACACAATTATGTTTCTATAAGGGCTACACTGAACAGTTGGGGAAGTTGCCTTTAATGATTGCTACAAAAAGTAAGAAGTAGGTATTATTTGCTTGTTAATAAATCAGATGCCCATAGTACCATTTGGTGGGCTACACTTCATATTCACAGTTTTACAATATGTGGATCCATGTGGCCGTGCTGATGATACATGTTGTGGCAATTTCTCTGAGCTTTTAATAGACTGTAGAGGACATCAGGAAGGTGGCAGCCAACATCAAGCCCAGGAGAAAGCTTCCTGGCATCGACAGCGGACCTGCACTTCCTGAGGGCATCAAATCAGAGGTGCGAACAAGTTCATATGTATTCATTAACCGTTGTGGTTATTATAATCTTCAAAGGAGTGGAACTCAGTGGAAGGAGCAGATTACTCAGAGCCTAATCTACGTATCAAATAATTAAATCAATATTTGTTTGAGGTGATATTGATATCTTGAGACAAATGTGTTATTTCCGTACATAATAATGGCAGCCCACTGCTCCTAACACTAGGATGGGTCAAATGCAGAGAAACCGTTTCGTTACTAGTACCTGTAGCCTACTAAACATTCAGGTTATCCATTTACGTAGGTGTTTATGCTACTAGCTTTGTCTATTTGCTTTTGTAGATCTTTCCTAAATAAACCAAAAGATAACATTAGGTAGTGCCTGATTTGCATAGTTTTAAAGATAACATTCGATATTCCTTTGTGGTTCAGGAATATCCGAAATTCCCAATATAAAATGTAATAATTATATGTAGTATGTCAACAAAATAAAGGAAGCATCTTGAACCTGATTTATACAATGTTCATTTTTCGAGAAAGGATTGCAAATGTGCAAATATTTAAACATAACATTTCTTAAAACTAGGACAAGTTTCATGGTGTAAAATTCAACACAGGACTTCTAAATGTAGGTCTCCCTTAAATAAAAAACGAATTCACACTGTGTGTTCATTGTGTGCCTAAAGTCTATTTATAGCTATAATTACAGTATGGAGCTTACTTACTTGTGCACGAGTCAGACTCTTTGAACATGCCCATCTTCTCGCTGGTTTTGACAGATTTCAGAAGTTCTGCGCTGACATCTCCTTAAATTAGAGACAACATGGCAATGCTTAATTACACACAGACATTATAATTACGTTAGTCGAGTGTGAGGCAGTTATGGACTTGCTTTTCCTTCGCTAAGTCAGATAATAATACATCTAAAATGCTGCAGTGCATTTCGAATGTTTCAGAAATAACAAATTACATAGCAAGTTTTTAAGAAGGTTTGATCGTTTTGCACATACTTTTTTGCTTCAGGCAGGGATAAAGTGCTGTTAATTTTATTTATTTATTTTCCTACTGTACCAAGCAAAAAAATATGATCTTTTTCACACATTCTCATCTGCATGCTGTCTGAAAACGTTCCGTTGTGCATCTCTCTGCTGTTTTGAACTCCACAATAGTAAACTCTTCACCTGGTGGGAGACTTGTGAGGGCATAAATGCGTGTCCTGTGCTATACTGTGTGAAACCCCCGTACAGACTCTTCTCTGTTCCCCCCTGAGACAGAGGAAGGGACAAAAATGAGACACACAGACACTCAACTCCAGCATCAGGTTACTGAGCAATCTTTCAGGTTTCCTGAAGATTTTTCAATGCCCGTAATTGTTCATTGTCCTGATGACCACAGCCTGGGCACACAGCTTGCCCCACATTGGTCCTACAAGTCTGAAGCAGCTGAAGTGTTTACAGGCTTACATGCTGCACACAGTCTGAAAGATTGAGATTATACCAAACACACAAGGAGCTTTGTGTGTTTGTGAATGCAGTCCTGGCTCAAAGGTGCCAAACCTTCTTTGCTAAATCAGCTCCTATGCTATTTTGTTTGTCATTTTCCCAAGTCCTCTTTTGAGTTTTGTTTATTGACTCAATAATTATAATGGCATTTTGAGAACAAAAAATAATGAGGTGCCAAGTTTCACGAAAACGAGTCATCGTCTCATCATCGTCTTCTAGAGAAACAATCTTTTTGATCTCATGTTATGTCTTTGGAAGCGATCTGATACCTACTCGACACATTTTGCTGCTTGGCCAGAAGCCCATTTCTTCACTTTCTTTTTCCCTGTGTCTTATTACACCTTACTCATAGCATCAGGCAGTATAATGTCATGCAAACAATAAGATCAGGGTGTGGGTTAAAAGATTAAGGACCTAATGGCATGTGACATAACTCGTTACTTAGACAAATGAATTTATTTTTAGCATTAATGTCTCCTGCATGGTTTATTTGGACAACAACAGTCAGCATCAATAAGTCTGCTCATTCAAATGCCCTAACCCCATCACAGGACATTTCTTGGAGAGGTGAGATGAGGCAATAGTCATCACTTCACCAAAGTTTTGTAACCTACTACTTAAATATTATTGTTGCAGAAGTGTATTGGATCATATTATTAGAGTCCACCAAACTAACTTATTAAAGCTAGTGGTGTCTGTTAAGTATTTGAATCGCATGGTCAATGGCTAAAGAATTGAGTCTTGATTTTGAATAGATCTTCCGTGTAAAAACGAGGAAGAGTATCAAATATTCCTTCACTCGCTTCCTCAAATCACCTTTACTCATGTTTCTGTTTTTTGTGAAAGCTAATAATTCTCTTATCTTGTAAAATGAGACATACTGTTGTGTATAAAGTGGAAGGGTTTCTGCCTTACCGGACACCATGTAGTTGACTTGGCTGCACTTTCCCTCAGCTGAAGATGGGTTAGAAGAAGCTGAAGAACTGGGCAGGATGGTGACTCTCGCTGTCTCCAACCCCAGGACATCTGCCACCCTGCTACGGAAGTCATATCTAGGCAAAAATTTATTAGATATCGAGTTTGTAGTACAAAATAAATCGAATAATAAACAATAGATACTAGCTAATAAACCATTTCCAGTGCATTTTATAAATGTTGTTTATTTCAGATGCATAATGTCCTTATATCATATTTGATCAGCCTCGCTTTTAAAAAATAAAATGTGCTACTCAGATGCTTGATGACCCTCTAGTCTCAAAAATAATATTTTGGATTGTATTATGTTGTTGCACTTACGTATTAAATATTAGAATATACGACAGCTAAATAGATTAACAAAACTGAGACTCAAAACGCTCAAAAAACGATCTTTCTATCTTTTTCTGTTTCACTATTCATGCGTGTGCTGTATATTTGAAGTCCCAATTAAAATGATGTTTTATGTTCTGTCATAGGCCTATTAGAAATTCACCAATTACGGATATATGGTGCACTGAAGACCATTTTATTCTGTATGCATAGAACAGTTATCGTCCAAAGTAGGCAAGAAAATGGTACTTGTTCTGTAACTAATAATATTGTTCTTCACCTAAAGGTATACACTGCAAAAGTGAATCAAATAAGATGTAAATGAGAAGAAATTAAAATTATTTTACTCCATGTACTGTGCGAATTGCTCTTGTTTAAATTGCTCAGCAGGTATTTACAACACTTGTGTAGAATTTGTTCCCTGATCATCCAACCCTGTTTGTTCTCTCCGGCACGCTTGCCAAGAGATTGAAGATACAATTCACGAGAAAGGTTGATAACCATCAGTGCAGTTTTTATTTCACTCACCTGCTGAATTGAGTCACTGTGGGAAAGATCTGCTCTGCTGAAGGGGATTCTGGGAGGATGTCTGCACATGCAATGATACTGTTTCCGTCCTTCAGCACTACAGATCTGTAGACCACTGCAAACACAGTTAAACATGAACTTTAACAACAACGTTTTTTGGAAATCTTCAATTCTAGCTCCTGCTAAATACACTGTTGGGGGTAAAACTGCGTCACTTTGGCACCTGTGTCGTCTCCAGAGAGCTGGATGATGCTGTCAGTGAACAGCTGTCCCTCACTCAGGCTGACCCGGCCTTGTCTCGCTGACACCTCTCCCACCACACAGCTCAGAGGGTTCAAAAGGGAACAGCTGGAGCTCTGAAGGGGGAATAGAAAATGGGAAGTGAATTACATGTTAACCACAAGAGCACAATGTTCATGTTTTATTGTTAGAGAAAGAAACCCACAAGAAACAACCTTCTTCTCTGCACTGGTGGAAATCTTTGTCTCATTGTTCATAGTTAAGGACTTACAACTAATGCTCAATTAAAGCAAATACAAATGCCTTTGTAACTTCTTCATGCTTTAACTTCTAAAAGACACATTTGCAGTGGAAATGTTCAAATCTCATATATCCTTATAGCTCTTCGGAAAAAGATATCCAATTAAAAAAGGCCTGCTCAAGAAGTTATATCTACTGTAATTTAAAGACTAATCTGACAAATCCAGAAATATTCTTCCATGCCATTACCAGACACTAAGTTTGACTCCTTGTTTTTCATGCTGTAATAGACTACCTCATGATCATTCAATAAAAAATGATGATGGAATTTGATGAATGGTGTCTTCATTAAGTCAGTAATGTTATCCACATTTTTTTGTATCTTTGAAGAGGTGATAAGGAGGAGTTTCTAGAGTCTATCGAGGACAAAGCTTTGTTCAAGATAATCAGAGCAAAATCTGCAGATTCAATACTTTAAATACCAACATATCAGCTAACAGCTCTGCATTCAATCACTTCATAAAGTTTGAAAATGATAGGGGCTGACCTCACCTTGGATGTCATGTTGAAGGGATTGAACGTGTCTCCCGTACTGCTACACCGCCTGGTGTTGCCGGCTCGGTTGCTTGAGATTAACAGGTCGACCACATTCGTCTGCAAGGAAGGGGGGTCAAATACAACAAGTGAGTGTGTGTTCCTATTGTTTTTTTACCGTACTGTCGATATATCCCATAAATACAGTGAAAAACATACAATAACAGTAATTGTCACATGATTCAGACATATATTAATTATATCTTTCTAATCCTGGTGCTTTCAATACAAGGAAATGTACTTACTGGAAAATAATGAATACCTTTAATTTCTGCATTTCAAAATGTATCAAACCTCATTGTCACTAATGCACAGGCCTTTTAGATTTACAGTGTGCCCCCTTAATGTCCAAGTGAAGATTCATGCCTCTGTACTCACATTTGGTATGTTCGATGACTGAAGGTTCACCTCCAGCTTTATATCACTGCTACTCCCATCAGGAAACACCTGCTGGCGCTGAGAGACGGGAAAATGTCCAATATTAACAGACAGTTAGAGAGACTGAATTGTTCAAGGTCATACTATCATAGCAAATAGTTTAACCAGAACTGGGTGCTTGTTTTACTGAAATATAAGGGCAGACACAAGTGTGAATTCATTATTGAGACTCTCTGTTATCTGCCTGAGTAAATCTTGCAGATGACAATGTTTATTCCCCAGATTATCCCTTATAATAAAGCATTTTGGAGACAAAAGCTCTTAGACATAGTGCAGCACTCAGCATGGGGCCTCTGGAGGGCCGCTGACAGAGACAGCTGTTTTCTTGGGGAGCTTCCTTGTTCAGGGCGTCTGTATGTTTCACAACCCATTGCATTTCTGTCTGTAGTTCTATGTTAAGCTAGTAATCTCGTCTCTTCTTCCCATGTCCCCTTGTTGCAACCACGTGCATAATGAATTCACGGTCTGTCCAGGGAAGCAGAAAATACTCTGTCATGTTTTTGTGGCAGCTTGGCTCTTAAAGAGAGAAAAGCCTTGCATGTGCTCTGTGGCTATCAGAGGAATAGCAATGGATTCTGAATCTTAGAATGTGCATTTAGAAAAATCACAACTTATTTTATGGAGATGGGCTGGTTGATTATTACTGGAACTCATTACACCGTTTTTTTAAAGAATATTAACTTTATTAATTGAGGAAAGACTTTCACCATCCTTATCACAATGTACATTTAATCTGTTTGTCATCTTGCAATACACTTATTTATCTAAATAGTTATCACCGCAATAAACAATAATTAAATTCATCTTACTGAACAATATTTAATTTTAGATTCTGTTCTTGTATATATAATATTATATTTACATGTATATAGACTTCTTGCACTATGTTTTATTTGTATTTTTACATTTGATTATTTAACTATGTTGCATCAGTGGAGGAGCTCGGGTCATAAGATTTTCATTGCCATTTCTACACTGTAGCTTATGTGCATATGACATTAAAACCTTTGAATCTTCAAAATGTACTGTTGAAAATAATATAGTAAAAAATACAGTGTTTCTTATCCTAATTATGCAAGGTGATGTATTTTATTCTTTCTCATATATTTATTTTTAATATAACAACCTTGTTTTTTCCCACGTGTATCAAATATGTTTTGACATTTTGCACTTTGGCTAAGTTTAGCAACCTGAACTTGGGCAACAAATAATCAGGCAACTATTGTAAAGATTACTTAAATAACTGTGGTTGGAGCAACCCACACATAAATGCAATCTCTGAAAAGACATATGGGAAATAAGAAAGGCTGTCTTTCATAAACGGGAACTCTACTTCAAAGTTGGTTTTGGGGTCATGGTGAGTACAATTGCAAATGTGAGAAAGTTGTATAAAGCTGTCAGTTTGGTCAGGCTGTGTTATCTCCCCTAATGTCTACCTAAACTTGCCACTCAAAGATCATTAGCCGAACTGTCAGTCATGTTGCATTGTGGGTAATGTAAGAGATAGCCTTTGATAAGAAAGAAGAATGTGTTCATTAAAAAAAACGACATTTCAAAATGTGATGTTTGTATAACTGGGAGATAAAGTAAAGTGTACTTAGTATTTACAGTATAGGACATTTATTTATACTAAGTGTGTATTTGACAAAGAAAAGATGGATAGGCTGATTACTTTTTGTAAATTAAACTTCATATGACAGTATTTGGCATTTAGTAAAAAATAATTTGTCTTGCAAAAGGATGTTGTTGGTTCTTACGATTTTGACTGTCCCATCCACTGAACCACTGAAAACAGCCTTAGCAATGACCCATTGTCCATCTGTATCTCTGTCAGCTGAGATGTCAGCACACCGCATTCTGTCCAGAAAACAAACACATGCAAAGTATAACACAATATGAGAAACCACATCCACATCTTGCTGTGTACTTTGAGAATGTTCTGCTAAGCAATGTTTTGTTGAGTCAATCTCAATGAATAAAGGGGATTATGTTTTATAATACAAAACATGAGGAGGATATGACTCAATGTCTATGACATCCTACACCTGTAATTGGCCTCAATAGACTGTCCAAGTCTGACACTGTGCCAGAGGGCCACTCAGGGTGGTGGAGCTGCAAAACCACAGATGACTACTGCAATTTTACAGCTGCTAGAATTGTTCCTGTTTTCTGTTTGCTGTATCTGTATCTAAATACACATGGAAGGAAATGAGTCAGTGGCTAGAGTAGTTACAGTGGCCTCTTCTTCAGATACAGGAACCTGCTCTCATCCTCCTATGTGAATTATTTTCACATTTGCTTTTCTCTTACATCTTAATCTTCTGTTGATTTCTTTCTCTCTAAAAATTCAAGCACATGAAATGCATACAGGTTCTTACCTTGATCCGTTCGAGTAGTGAATCACGAGTGACCTTCCGTCTATGCTGTAGGGACCAGTTAATGGCAGGTCAGGGTCATTGTACACAGCCTGAACCTCGTTGAGGTCATGTAGAGTCCCAAATTTCCCGCCAATGTCCCCAAGCTCATATTGGTCCACTGTGCCATTTCCAGGTGGGGGGCTGTCTGATATGTTCCAGGCTAACGGGTTGTAGTGACCCAGGATGTTTGCTCCGGAGCAGGGTGAGGCACTGCCAGGTTTGACGGGCAGTATGTGAACATGGTAGCCCCCAGCCACAGAGTTCAGGTTAATCAGGGTGACATTTACAGTCGTTGGGCCTTGTGGGACAGCCTGGGAGAATCTGACCTGTCCGCCGGGGAGCTGGGAGCCAAACCAACTTCCTAAACTAGCTTTGGGGACTCGCACCTTTGTGACATTGGCACAGGCAATCCTTGGGCCGCCTTTTTCTTCTTGATGGATGACCACAGAGCGACCAATAATGCCTGTCTCGGACAACCAGGAAGTCACATCAGTGAAAAAGCGTTTTGCTTCCACTACGCCCACTTTGGTACCGAGGTTGAGGGTGCTGTGTTTGCTGGAGAGGTCTCCCACCTCGCAGGACAGGGGCCTGGAAGGGCCACAGTGGAGGCCATAGCTGCTGTCTCCTACATTAGAGTTGAAGGGGTTCCAGTGTCCTCCTGTTGTGCTGCAGCGTCTACTATCGTCATCTCTCTCTGAGCTGATGGGGTATATGTGAACATGCCAGTTGTGGTTTTTGGTTGGTGTTGTTGAGGGATTTCCATATGACAGATCTATGAAGATGGAAACGTCAGACAGAGGGTTGTTTGCCAGCTGGGCGAACCAGATCTCACCAACCACAGGGCTCTGAAATATGGCTCTGGCTACGCTAACTTCACCGGGATAGCTGATGCTGGCACAAACATACCTGGCACCATCTGGTTGGTGAATCACAACCGAGCGACCTATAATGCTGTTACCTCCAAACAGAGGGAGGCTGAAGTCTGTGAACATCATGTCCACCTCGTTTCTACCTTCAAGGGACAAATGCTTGGAGCTGAGATCACCAATTTCATACATGTCGTGAGTTGAACCTGGCCCGTTGGGGTATGTTGGGTCATTTGTGTTGACACCGAATGGATTCCAGTGGCCACCCACAGCAGCATTTGAACACCGGCTTGATGAAGGCGACCTGACTGACGGAAGAGGAAAATGGTGGACGTGGAAAGGGCCGACTTTGCTCCGCAAGTTGGTCAGGTTCACCCTCAACTCCGTCACATCAAAAGGGGAAGCCTGACGGAACATAAAATATCCCTTGATGCCTCTCATGTTCATTACAGCGCTCACTTGTTTCTCCGGCACAATATAAATCTGAGCACACATGTAAGTTGACCCCATGCGGATGAGAAGAAAGCGATTGTTGATGTTGAAGCTGGTCACGTCCAGACGGGATTTCTCAGGTGTTAAAGGGGTTCCGACTTTAACGTCACCCATCATGATCAAAGCTGAGGGATCTAAGCTTCCAAGAAGAGCTTTACAGCTTGTGGCAGTGCTGGTTGATCCATAGAGAGTTACGTTGGTTTGAGAGGCATTGACTTGACCGGTGGTAACTAGGTCTGCAAGCACCCTGGGGTTGGCCAGTCCTTTGTTAACGCGCATGTAAACATTACCAGCGATTGTTCCTGTGAACCTGGCCTGATAAGTCGCGTCTGTTTGACTTTGACTTAAAACAGTACACACTTTATTGCCGTCGCATGTCTGAAAAGTCAGCGAGAAGTCATCCAGGTTTGACATTTGTTCGAAGAGGAGGGACACGTTGACTGTGGGGTCTGAGGAAGGATCTGTTGTGAAGGTGAAAACGCTAGAGCCGATATTTGCTTCAGAACAGGGCTGAGCATAATGGCCATACATGACGGGGAACTGGCTGAGGGAAAAGTTAAGTGAACCACAGGATCCAGTGCCAGACACGTTGACAGTGGCCATCTGGGAGGTGGAGTTAAAGTGCACCTGCCCTGTGACTCCTTCCATGTTCACAGGCGCCAGAAAGTGATCACAGGAAAAGGTATCTGAAAAGGCAAGGCAAGTTTATTTATAGAGCACATTTCAGCACAAGGCATTTCGAAGTACTTTACAAAAATGTAAGAAACAGTAAAATGATTCAGATAAAGTGCAACAGCAACAGATTATTAGGTAGGTAAGTTTGAGAAACCGGCTCGAGATACACTTTTTGTTATATTCCATGGAATGCTCTTAACATCCCGATAGCAATGAATATCTTAAGTGCTTTGACAAAAAATCCATTAAAAAATGTCATCTGTGGAAGCCGTAGTACTGTAAAAAGTACGACCAATCATTTTAGCCGGCCTAGCTAAAATAACTGGATGGCCTACCTGCCTGTCAGCCTTCCATCAGTGCACAAACGTATCTCGTGCCCTCATTGGTCATGTGCGCGTTCGTGTGTGTTGGAGGAGGGGCTCTGTAAGGAAGTGGCAGATTTTTTCCGGCTGTGTATTTTCAAATTCTAGCGATCTCGAGCCGGTTTCTCCAAAATGACCTACCCCACCTTTAAATGACATTTAAAAAAGTAATTAAAAAGCCAAGATAATTAAAATAAAACAAGCTAAAAAAAAGAAAGAAAGGCTGGTAGAAAATACAAGAATACAAGTTACAGTACAGTTTAAGATAGTTATAGTTAATAGTTATAAGTCGTCAGCCTTGAATTAAAAATACTGAAAGTTGACAAAAATTCTGCCCTGTAAGGGAGCAGGAATTAAAAAATAAATGGATGAACAATTGGGGGAGATGATAGTATTTTGGGTTCCTACACTTGTTAATGCACAACTACCATCAATGAACAAAACAGATATTAGATGATCCTGCAAAACCCTAAATCTACGTTTTGGAATTTTGTTATCATTGTTTAAATATTGGTCCTATAGTGCATGTAGTACATTAGTACGGTGGCCCGGAAGTGCAAGACACCACAGCATTTCACAAAACACTACAGCATTTCAGAAAACACAACAGCATTTCAGAAAACGCCGCAGCATTTCACAAAACGCCGCAGCATTTCAGAAAACACAACAGCATTTCACATTGGACGGAAAGGGTATTCCTTTAGGGAGAACACTTCTTGTTTGTGATTGGACAGAGCCAGCCAGAGAAGCACTGCTGTGATTGGTTGTTTTTGCTGCCAGTCAAGAAATGACGCTTCGTGATTGGTCAGCACCCGACAGCGCAACATGTCCCAACACATCAACCGTTAGCTGTTAGCACACACTCAGAGCTCACAGCTCCTCATATCTGTTCAGAAACTGGACAAAAGTTAAACAAGTACAAACCACAGACTGTCTATGTCATGGCGAATACAGTCGCTGCTTTATTTATGTCTGTATGACGCTGTTGTGAGTGTGGACGGAGCAGCTACAGGTTAGTTCAGCCTGATCGATCCGATTCCATTCAGAAAACACGCATTTTAAAAGCTTTTTGCCTGCCGTCTTGTCTGCAGACTTGTCAAAGCATTAATTCATGGTTTTTACTAACCGGTATCAGTATGTAGTTACTTCGGCATCACTTTGAAACGTGTATTACAATTAAATCACGGTCAATATGTTCATTTTGTTGTAGTTGGTATCTCCCATAGGATTTACATGGAGATACGCCCCGCCCCGCCCCCTCTCCAGCGCGTCTTGTTTGAATGACAGGAGCAAACACATCTGACAGCCGCGGTGAAACTCGAGTGATTAGAGCGATGCGAATATTGGGTAGTCTACCATAGTATTTACATGGAGATAAGCCCCTTAAAAACCATGAATTAATAAAGCATTAATTCATGGTTTTTTCGCATCGCTCTAATAGCTGCTCCGTCCACACTCACAACTGTAAGGAATGCGTGGAAAGGGTAGGACCCAAATGCAGACTACCAAAACAAAGTAACAAGGTCTAGAAACAAGAACGAGCTTTATTCCAAAAGCTGAAAACTAGCATGGCATGAAACACATAGGTTCTACAGAAACTGACCGTGACCAACATGGAGGAAGACAGGAAAAACCAACAATGAACCGACAAGGCACACAGGGGAAGACAAGACTAAATACAGAGAGGGGTAATCACAAGACGAGACACAGCTGGGGTAAGGGAGGCAGAAACACAAGGGCAACAGGTGAACACAATCAAACAATCAGACACACCAGGGAAACTAAGACAGGAAGGCAAACACAGAAGACACAAGGAGGAAAACATTTCAAAACAAAACAGGAAACCAGAGACAGAAAAAGACAAGACAAAACACAACACAGACAGATCGTGACAACAACAGCGTCATACAGACATAAATTAAGCAGTGACTGTATTCGCCATGACATAGACAGTCTGTGGTTTGTACTTGTTTAACTTTTGTCCAGTTTCTGAACAGATATGAGGAACTGTGAGCTCTGAGTGTGTGCTAACAGCTAACGGTTGATGTGTTGGGACATGTTGCGCTGTCGGGTGCTGACCAATCACGAAGCGTCATTTCTTGACTGGCAGCAAAAACAACCAATCACAGCAGTGCTTCTATGGCTGGCTCTGTCCAATCACAAACAAGAAGTGTTCTCCCTAAAGGAATACCCTTTCCGTCCAATGTGAAATGTTGTGGCGTTTTGTGAAATGCTGCGGCGTTTTGTGAAATGCTGTTGTGTTTTGTGAAATGCTGTTGTGTTTTCTGAAATGGTGTAGCGTTTTCTGAAATGCTGTAGTGTTTTCTGAAATGCTGTTGTGTTTTCTGAAATGCTGTGGTGTCTTGCACTTCCGGGCCACCGTACATTAGACTTCTAAAATGGTTTAGTTAAAGCCTGGGATTCTCATCATCGATGAAGACTTTCAACATTTCCAAAAAATCCCTTCAGACATGTTTCAAGACACACATATCCTCATACAAATGAGAAAATAAGTAATTACCTTTGAATCCTGAAATAAATATACGACGTCAGAGAGCGTCAGCAATGGACCCACATTGTGAAAAGGTATGAATGCATGTATTCCTGAATCAAGGCAATATTAAAACCTGTTTACTTGTATTGAAGCATTGAAGTCTATTTTCTTCGATGTCATTGTTTTACATGGCGGCACACCAAAGGGTTTTCAGACAATTAGAATTACATAATTTACTATTCCTAAAAAATCTTCCCCTTTTATTTATTAAATGCATGATTGGCTAAAATTGAACAATTATGTTATCAGGCAAGATACTACAGTATTAGTTTACTGTTTGAAACATGTTCCTGTAAAATCATGTTGCCTTGGTGTTGACTTGATAGCCACCAAAATAGTGGAAATATTGTCAGGTAGCATGCAAATGTTAGTTTCCATTCTCATTTCATTGTTATATATAGCAGCCACTTTCATTTCTTTATTTCTTCTGCCTGTATGCCCTTTGAAATTAGGCTTAATAGCTGAAATGCTACTTTCACAATTTGACTATACAGTCTAGGTCTAAAATGATTGTCATTATCCCTATTTGGATTACCCTTTGAATTATACTACAATAAATTAAAAGGACAATATAATGTAGATCTTCAGTGGAGTGCAAATCAAACCATTTGACTCCTATCTGAAATGAGGTATTGGCCTTTCACTGATATGTTAGCCTTATACTGTACATCAACAACAGGTTAAGCATTAAGATTAATCTTTGGTCAGCGGGTAACTGAGATTCTCAAAGTGTTATTGTTAGCTGTGGAACAGCATGCAAAAACAACATCTACCAGAGCAAAAACACAGATCAGTGAATGACCATCTGTTGGCAGAAAACCTGCACACTCTTTCCCTTCATGCCACTAGTTATAAACCCCCTGTAATAAACATACAACTGTTGGAAACATAAATCATTCATGAGGTCTGTGCAAATTGCAAAGGTCAAAGTTTGGAAAAACTATACTCACCAAGTAAAGCAAGCAGCAGGGCAGCTGTCAGTAGGCACATGATGGCAGATGTGATGTAAACACAGCAAAAAAAAGCTATTTAGGATTAAAGAACAAAACTTCCCTTAAGTCATGCAAATCTGCCTTACAGGTGTTGACAAGAAGAAAAAAACAGCTCAGCTACAACTAAACAAGTTCAATGACAGCTGCGTGATTGAGTGTGTGTGCCCAAGTGCACTCTCCAAGAACGTGTCAAGTGTAACTGGCTTTTTCAAAGTGTGCAGCCTCCGTAGTGCTGCTTTTCACCAGCAGTCTGTCTGTGTCAGCCTGTGATTGGTCAATAGGAAGACAGTGTCTCATGTATGGAGGTAGGGGAGGGATGAAGACTATTTGGCAACCTGGATGGGCGAAGTAGCCCGCAAAAGTGACCCAATCCTCTATGGTTGGTAGAAGGCTTTATTCTTTGTAGAATAAGATTACACTTTAAGACTTAATACTGTACAGTATGCTAATTGCCGACATTTGTTTCTAAAAACAGAAACACACTGATGACAATGAACAGCACCAATCTAGTCCAACGAATACAACCAATATATCAAAAATATGTAATACAAATGAATAAATACAAATAAAAAGTATTAAAATAAATATACTGACTTACAAAATAGAACAGTAGCAGATGAATACAAGTTCAAATTATAGAGTCAAATTCATGTAATTGCAGGTGTTCAACATGTATTTAGCCTTTTGTAAATACTTGAGCTATTTAAGCAAAACAAAGTGAATGGTTTTGTCAAGTTCAAGACACATGCACATGTATCACTGCTCTTTGTGGGGAAAAAAAAGATCAAGTTTATATTCTCAGTTTTGTGTTTTTTCCATCAGGTTGATCCACTCTTTCCTTTCCATTTGTACCACCTTGGTTCCTCTTTCTTCTGCCAGAATGTGCTTCAGCTGTCCTTGTGACAGGGTTGAGGGGAAGAAAAAGAGGAGAGAAAATTGTAACTTGTTCTAAGAATAGCCCCCCATCATTGTGGGCTATTTGGGGATGGCCACACAGATATTTACACACATTGGAGGACCTGTGAAGTGGGACAGGTCCTTCATTTGGCCTTTTTTTGTATCACTGATTGCAGCAGAAGATGGAATGGTGATCATGTACACACAGGCTTACTATTTGCACACAAACAGGCAGAGTTCTCGTATGACTGTGGCAAATGGAAACAGAGCAACAACGTTTAAAGTTTAATCTACCCAGTGCCTTCAGCTGTAATTTAGTTTTAGTAAAAAGTTAAATATTTCCTTCCAAAATGAAGTGAGGTATACGTTTAGTTTAGCATGTGTAGATAGTTTCCATATGTCCTGCACACACAGGACAAATGTTCCTCAGAGTCACGAGGAACAGAAGAGCAGCAAAACTCTCCAAACACTTGGCCTTGTTAACCTTAATTGAGGTTGTCACAAGACCAAATATTCCTGTCCGTCACTCAGCTCCTTATCACATTTCCCAGAATCTTTTTTTCAAATCATCGGGTTGGGTTGGCTGGGTTTCAACAAAAACAATAAAAGCCACATACATGTACACCAGAGACAAAAATACATTACAATGTTATTTCAACAAACCCTTCTCTTTCAAATGAAATATGTATCTGGAATTTCTCTGTAGTTTTTTCCTTGAATCTGATCCAACAATAGTTACAGTAAGTTACACCCATGATCACGTACTGTATGCTATCAACAATGTTTTGTTTTAACGTTCACATCTCGCCAGAATGTGACAGATGACAAGAGGTATAATCCTCAGATTCACCAATGTTTTCTGATTCTTATCTTACTGCATTTCCGGTTTAAAAGAAAGGCTGACCTGAATATCTTTCTAAAAGTAACATACCTTTTATTTGCAATAATGGATTTACATAAAGCTTAAATGGAAATAAATATTAAAAAATAAAAAAGTTAATTCTGCTATTAATGTTGCTTTTTTAAAAACATTTTTAAGAAATGCAAAAATTAAATTAAATTCAGATATGAATTAGTCCTTAGTATACTGTATGTTACTGTCAAGAAATATATCAATCGATGTGTCCCTTTGATACACTAAGGACATAGAAACATGTTTTATTTGTCAGACTAATACTTTAACTGTACTAGTTTCACCTTCTTTCCCAGTGTCAAACAACAACTCAAATTGTGTGTAAGGTTGTTTACAAGATCCATATGTGCTTGATTACGATATATTATTAATTTAGCTATAGACTAAGAGAAAATACTACTGTACAATAAAAAAATAGTAATTACAGTATTGTTTTCTTCTCTTAGAGCCGTTTTTTTAAAGGGACACTGGCTAATATTTCAAACGAAGACTCACATTAAACACAAGAACCACAATATTACCATAATGAAAACCATTGAACACATGCAAAAAGATGGCACAGAGAATGTTTTGTATCTACTTGTTTAAAGTTAGGGTTGCTCATGGCTCATCTACAGGCTGTACAGCAGCCTTCGGGCCACTAGATGGAAGCAGAGAATCATATTTTTAACGAGTTATAGTTTATATTGACTTGGACGCTGTTGTCTGAACCTAAAATGATTCATTTGTTGCACAAAAAAAGCACAATATCCTTTACATAAAAAATACTTACCCAAAAGACAACCACACTTGTATAGACGTAAAAAGCAGACAAGGACACACACTTCACAGTAAGCTTTAACCATGATATAGCACGAATGACAGAGATTCAGTGATTTCGGATTTAATTACATGTCGCTTTTGTGAATAATAATTCCAAGGGGAGAACACACTTAATATACATTTGCTTAAAGCCTGTGCTGGGAAACGTTTCCCCTGCTAGGTCTGCTCAACTCTTCTGGCTTGAATTGGGACAAACATAAATAATACACCTCAAACACAGCCCTCCTGAATCACTGCGTCTATGGTCTCAAGCAAGGGATTCGCGAAAAAGTGCCTCTCCCGTTACGGTGAATCACGTTCACGCTTCCTGCCATATAGTGAGCTAGCGTTTCCGGTTTTGCTTGCATATTAGATCTACACGGCATGTGTTGCTGCCGGCAGGGCTGCAGGGAGCAGGTTTACTCCATCACGTTGCTGTGCGTCAGTGAAAGTGCTCGACACGACGTGCTTGAACGGAACCATTGAATTCAAAACGGTGAAACAGACAGAGCCAGCCAGAAGAGGTCCGACACTTTCTGCAGGTCCACTGTCAGCTGCTAACCCGGGACCTGGAGACCCTCACACAAGGTATGTGGAGGATTTGAGTTATATTTGGCATTTTCATAACGTTTGAATTGCACGGCATGCTTTATTGTGGTTGTTGGGCATGCGATGCCTGCTCGACATGCCCAACACTTCAACACTTGGATATCCAAACAGCTGCAATATTGTTTACTTTGAGCTCTAAGTCATGCATAAGATAACCTACTGTTTGTGATATTCTAGCAGGACTTACTGTAAAGCGTCATTAGTTCTGTAGATGTCTTTAATGCAGCTACTTTACATTTTAGAAGGTGCATGTATGATTTGGAGAGAAACAAATATCTTTCAAATATTCTCGGGTGGTGCTCTCTTTCTGACAGGAGGTCAAAGGTCAGGTTCAGTTACAGTGCAGAACCTCCTGCAGCTGATAAGGATACACTCAAAGTGTCAAACTTCTTCAACAAGTAATGCACTTTTTTAACTAATGAATTCTATTGTAGTTTTTTTAGAATACTTCTCTTTTTGTTTACACATTTTCCATTTGAATTTTAGTTACATTTACACAGTTACAGATCAGGATGTAGTTATATTTTAATGGAAAAAACTATCCATAGGTTGTTCATACATCAATTATTAGGCCCATGCAGGTAAAATTGTTGGCATTCACACAGCACCGTTTACATTTAGTTTATGTAATTGGTCTATCTGAGCCTGGTTGGACATGGTGTTAACAAAAACAGTACGAAAGGGATAATTTTACTTCCTTCCTTCTGCATCTAAGCTTTTGCTAAGTTAGATAGCTTGCTTTCCCTAAAGGCCGCTACACACCCACCTGAGACCAAAGAACGCGTACCGAAGGCGTCCCGACTTTTACGTCAGCTACGTCGCCTGCGTCGGCTACGCCGCCCTCTACGCCGCCCGCCTACGAACACACCGCAAATACTTCAGTCGACGAGTGGCAATAACTGTCCTTACCAGCAGGCAGCGGTAGTGTGAACAGCCAATCAGAGTGATTGCTTGGGCCGACTTTCTCTGACCTCCCGCGGCCGATTCAACATGTGGAATCGGCCGCGGGAGGTCAGAGAAGGTGTGAAAAGGTGCCGTAAAGAGAAGACGGTGCGGGACACACCAACCTGAGTAGGGCGCCGCGAATTCTCGACTGCCTCTGACGGCCTCTGACTCCCAAAATCGGGTTGGTGTGTAGCCAGCTTAAGAAAACGTCCTTGTTAAAGGGCCTCCATTTGGATTACTCTGTGTGTGCAGCTCCTTCTATCTTCTCCCTTCCTAGCACTTTCCCGCCTTTTCACCATTTGTTCCATCAGTTTTCATAACTCCCTTGCCATGCCCCCAAGGTTCTGCAGATCAAAAATCAGCCCCCCCCCCCCCACAGTCTACCCTCTCTCCTCTCTCCCTCTTAAGTTCACATGTAACCCCCGAGCACCTCCTCAGCACCTCAGCCTCTTAGATATTTCTCAGCCTGTAATGACTCTCTGAGGATATCCATATCCATACCAAAGCCTGGCCATTTGAACTTGAAAAGGTCCCAGACAAATATGATAATTGTCTCCAAAAGGCTGCACTCAAACACACAAACTAGATTCTTCATTTTTGTTTCCTTTTTTTCTCTCCTGTAATTGAGTTCCTCTGAAAAGCTGTGAATGTTCACCATATGGACATGACATCTCAAATGGTATTCCCCTTATTCTCTGATTTACTTGGATAGAGGGGGCCCCCCTATCCAATTGAGCCCTGAGCCTGTTTTTCAGGCCTCAGGCTCGAAAATGACATTCCCAGAACTATTGACTATATCTTCCCTTCTAAAAGGGGTAAATTAATAATCTTTTTTCTCAAAGCAATGATAAACCTGTGAGTTGGATGTAGAAAAGTCAGAATCAATATAGAATTTTTTTACTTTAAAGTAAATTCAGATTGAACATAGTAAAGATTTTTAAATTATAGTGTCCGTCCAAAAAAAAAACTTACTTACAGTGAAAACCACCCTTGAATGATGGGATAGTAGACTAAAAGCTTTAGGAATCCAAACTGTAA